ATTAGGCTTACAATAATGATAACAACATAAAGTTTTTATTAACTGGCTTCATAAAAGGAGTTTATCAATTCAAGGTATATGTATTTGATTACGTTGGAACGACGTAATATGGTTCAATACAACTTCAGCTCGTTTGGTCGGTTCAGTAGTTTGAAACATATAATTATAAACTATTAAAAAAGTAGTAAAATATAACAGAATTAAGAAGAGGGTAAAAAAAATATGACCATTTTGTTAAACAACTTCAAAAAGGAGGCCATCAATTAACCTGTGTATGTATGTTATTAACCTACTTCAAAAAAGAGGTTATCTATTTATCTGTATGTATATATTTTGTAGGATTAGGGCACAAAATTAATTTTCAAATATTAACACGCAGCCCGAGTAAGTCTTATTTGTGGCCCGTGAATGTTTTGTACATAAGTTATAAATATCGAAATAATGCATGAACGAACTGCAATCGGCCGTATAGTGTATCGCTCTGCTCGCGAACTTATCTAAAGTACATAGTGTTATATCATAACGATTATAATACGGTTATATTCTCTTTGCTATCAGTTCATTACAATTTTTGATAGCAATTAATTATGTGAAGAAACTTTTTCAATTGTCAATTATAGAAACAAATGAGTTCATATACTAAGGATAGCGCAGTCGTATGTCACAACAATTTGTTTTTTTTTTTGTAATCAGCAGCATACGACTACGCTGTCCTTTGATTATTGCTTACTAGCTTACCGCCAGCGGCTTCGCTCGCGTGGTCTTGTATTGAGCCCGTCACACACGTAGCTATAATATATATTTTATGACTTCACCAATGTATTTATTAACGCATATTAATATACGAGTATATTATTGCTTATTATGGTAGGCTATAAACGCTAGGCAGACCATCAATGAATGAGGGCAAAATATATATATTATAGCACGGCTTATTAATATATATTATAGCTACGTGTGTGACGGGCTTTACACATATAAATATTCCTTTTGAGTCACCGTATCTATGAAAAATCCGTTACATAGTTTTAAAGATTTAAGCATAAATGGGGATAAAAGGAAAGAAAAAGCGACTTTGTTTTAAACTATGTAGTAATATAATATAGCTATTGCTAAATAAAACTTGTTTCAAACTTTTTAGAGTATGATTTAGCTGTAGTCGGGTTTTAATTTAGAACTTATCTTTTTATTGATAAATTTTCTGGTTAAGCATAATCGAAAGCAAAAGCAGAAAAATAAAACTTTCTTACATACATACATAACACACTGACCAAAATCATAACCCTCTTTTTCGCTTCGCTGTAGTCGAGTATATAAATGTGCTTCCTGTCCTATCTCAACAATAACCAACAAGAACTTTTAATGTAAAATACCTATATACACTTCTTTCCTCTCACAGAGCAAATACAAATATGACAGCTAACATACAATAAATATACCCGGTTTCTGAATTGAGCTGGAAATAGTCATTACAGTTAAGCACGTCTCAAACCATACTTAAACGTCAGGTTTTCGTTTCCGTTTTTTTTTAATAATTAGTTGATAGCAGTTTAATAAAAATTATGACATTTTGCCTTATGAAAAGTAAAAATCTTAAGTTATTGAGATTAATCAATTAAGATTTTGTATAACCGGACGATAGCCTCCTAAATGGTTGCATTTTCAAACATAACATTGAAATTTGTATAAAATCAGTTACTTGTTAATAAAGTCTTCATTTATATTATTAGAGGTTATTTATGTATGTTTTAATCATTTTAATAGCATTTTCATGTTTCTCTGAGATATGAGCAATAAAGGTACGGGTAATTTTCTTTTAAACTCTTTTTAATTAATCATCATGGATGCTTATTCCCATAAAAAATGTTATTTTATATAAATGATACAAAAATGTTACCTCATTGTGTATCAAAAACTATTTAAAAAATTTTACTGTTTAAAAAGATACCGCGTAACCAGCAACTGTGTAACAGTTTACTAAATAAACTGTCTCTCTTCTGCATGTTTAGCTGATGTGCTTAATTCCTTTTTACTTTTTAATACAAATTATTTTAAAGAAAAATAATCTTTAAAAATAATTGTAGGTACATTGGTAACAATTGTACTATAGAGGTAGGTAGACATTCTCATTGTAGACATGGGTAAGCAGGTTACAAAGTCTACCTACCTCTAGCCTTATCCTGCACTCTCGCGCAGCGCGGCTCATAGTAATAAAATACTCGTAGTACTTCTCACAATACAAATCATTTCTTAGGTGATTTTGAAATATTTGTAAGTTTGTGCTAAATAACCCCAAAATCTGGTTCATCCACCGGAGTCTTTCTGACCTACGCTGCTCTGCGTTGTGCTGTTTACCCTTGCCAGCCTCTGCCCGGTCCGTGACGCTGACCCCGCGTACTCGATAGTAAATCCCCTCATTTTATCCCTTAAAGCTAAGTCCACTTAATTTGAGAACCAGACCCATAGCAAGCGAATCTGCACCTACCCCCTGAAAGATAAAATAAAATTTGTTAATTTTTTTTTATTTTTTTTTTTGCTCTTTTTACCTCGAGCCTGGGGGCTTCTCACACCCATCTATAATACAACGCTTCAACTCAGAAGAAGTGACGCCAGAAAAAAATTTAACATGTTAAAAGACTGAATGAAGAATGTTTCGATTTTTGTATCATCGCCATTTTTCATTCATTTCATTTTACATGTAGAAATTAATTTATTCACTTGACTTTTTCCATTTACCTCGCTCGCAGAGCGAGGTAAATGGAAGAGTTCGGCTAGGTTGGGCAGCGTTTGGAAAACTACGTCAGGTCTTCACATCGTCGATCCCGCAGTGCCTAAAGACGAAAGTCTTTAATCAGTGCGTCCTACCCGTTATGACATACGGAGCCGAAACGTGGACACTGACGGCACGGCTGGTCCACAAGTTGAAGGTCGCTCAGCGGGCTATGGAAAGGGCTATGCTCGGCGTTTCTCTGCGGGATCGAATAAAAAATGAGGTGATCCGGCAGAGAACCAAGGTTATCGACATAGCCCACCGGATTAGCAAGCTGAAGTGGCAGTGGGCTGGCCATATTAGCCGCAGAACCGATAACCGTTGGAGTAAACGAGTTCTTGAGTGGAGACCGCGTCTCGGCAAACGTAGTGTAGGACGTCCTCAGGCGCGGTGGATGGCTGGCAGGAGCTGGATGCGAACAGCCGAAAATAGAAGTAGATGGCGTGCAATTGGGGAGGCCTATGTCCAGCAGTGGACGAATATGGGCTGATGATGATGACTTGACTTTGGCAGAACTGTGCAAAATGCGCAGATAAGCCATTAATAGAAGAAGAAGAATGTTTCCCGCACCTCTCCTAGATGGTTTTACTACAAATGACATCACACGCTCATGGTGTTTCATTTGACGCTAGACACAGACTACAAATATTGGAAAATTATATTTTTGTTTGGTGATTTAAAATTATAAACAATTGTTATTTAGCAAAATAACTCGGTGAATAATCTTTAAACTTTATGAACTTATTAACCACGTACAATATATTTTATCTAATTGCTGTCCGATCCCCTGGTATGTTGGGCTTCAATAGTATTCACAAAAATAAGCGCTCTCTTAAGACACATCAAAATGAAGATAGAACGTAAAGTTGTAAGTATCGACGTAATAGGCAAGAAATTATTATTTATAATATTTGATAACAATTACTTTAAAATTAAAAAATATTCTTTAAGTTGTATTTTTATGCAAATTATAAAAAATATGAACTTTTTATTTACTACGTAACCTTCTAAAAACTGTTAATCGCGTATTTTCACATACATAATTCGTTTTTAGTTCAAGTCAGATACGCTTATTAGATAAGGAAATATTTTGTGTATCAAAATTAGATACTATTTTATCTTACACTACAAAAATACTTATTTAATATAAATAAATCGACGTTTTTTTATCATCTAACGAAAAAACTATTTTAATGGCAACTTTTGTAGTCATTTTTTGCGCTATGTCAATAGGTAAATTGTTTGTTATAATTATTCAAATAAAATATAAAGAAAGATTCACGATCGATGCATTTCCTTAAACTCAATGATATTAAAAGTAATATACTACAATTTTAATTCTAATATTGAAATAATTACGATCTTTAGGTTGACCTGAAAACAATAACACATTATATGTATTCCGCAACAGTATTGTTTTTAAAATGTTTTGCATATTTTTGTTTGTTTTCACTTCTGGGAATCGTATTAGTTCCAGGTGAAATTCAAAACTTGCGTTGTTAACGTTATGTAATACATTAATAACAAGTGACCTGCCTGAGCACAAAATTATCAATTAACAGCGACATTTCCTTCAATGGTTAAGAACTTATTTGAGTCTTTTACGAATTATCTTGTTTTTGGTGTAAATCATATTTATGAATGAAAAAGTAATTTCTGTTAAACAAAAAAAATCTCATGCACGACGCACAAAGTAAACGATATCTCACATTATAATCGTTAATCGAGTAATCTGTTCTCGAACTCGAAGTTGCATCACTATTTACGGTCTAATGTGTCAAAAGGGACCTTTTGTGAATACTATAGGGTTAATATAACAAGTGCGGCCCGCCTTTAGTTTATTTTGCCACCTTGTGACTCTTGCCTACCAGAAGGTTGCCCGCTGCTGGGATAAGGGCTTTTATACAAGTGTGTTATATTTTGTAGGTATATATTGTATGTGTATCTATGTTTGTCCACGTATTTCTTGTAAATTACACATCGGATTGAAATAATTCTCTTTTTGTTTTAATGTCAATTTCATATTGATTTGATTAGACTTATTCGATTAGAAACAAAATCATGCTACACTAGATATACAAAACTGTCAACTGTCAGTTCCATGTAATTTCGTTTCGTAAAAACTGTCAACAAGACACACGTAGACATATATGAACGATTGGAATATAGAAGAAGAATATTTTTAACATTAACTGTTATACGTTTGGGTGTTAATTGAACCTATACAATTATGCCTTCAAGTGACAGTGAAGATTTCGAAAGTGCGGATGAAGGTCAAGAGGAAAATGATAAAAAAGTGAGGAAGAAACGAACCTCATCCTCAAACTATGGTGATAATGCCTTAGAAACCATTTCAGAACCTAAAGAAACCATAAAAAGCTCTGCTAGACATCAGACTGATTCTGTAAGTATTATAAAGTATAGTATTATAATAAGATGAATAATTACCACGTCTATTTAAATATAAACTATTGCACTTTAGTTTACAGTCTATTGCACTTTAGTTTACTTAATCACTTAATTCTAAACATTGACACTCACTTTCCATTAGTTCAAAATGTCTTGTGAAGTAAAACAGCAAGGTAGGTAGCTTATATGCTTAAACAAAATTACATTTTTGATTAATATTTAAGACTAAAAAAGTTCAAGATGGATATAGTGAGTGAACACATATGGGATACTAAGCATAACTAATGGCAATGCTTGGCTCCAATTTGAAAAGGCCAATATTGTTCATAACTACTTCACCAGATACTGACTTGAAGTTTAGCCAAACAAGGACTAAATATGAATAGAAGATGGCTGATAACAGATTTGCACTACTGGTTTTCCTGTCAATCTGCTAAAACATTTTATTTTTGTGGAATTTCACAATGCTGATTATCTTTGCTATAAATTCAATAAAATCCAATACTTGTTTCTTCTTTCTTGTGTAAGGCGTTATGTATTTGCAGGTCCCGCAATTCATGATGAAAGGTGAGGCAAAACGCCCCTGCACTCCCCTTTCCATTGCCTCACTTTAATCTTATTTAAAAAGTGAGACTAGTCATTAGACAGCCATGATCCATACATTCGCTGCAATACATATAAGATTATATTGGTATAAATAAGGCTAAAGTGTAGCTGCTGCTTTAAAGTGTTACTCATATGAAAATTTGTAATTCTTGATTTTGATTTAATTCAATATTCTCATGCAAAAAATCTTTGTTCTTGGTCAAAATACATTTACTGATATATTCCCTGCAAATTGCTAATGTGCCTGGCCACCATTTTGATGATGTAATAGTGTTCAAAAATCAATACCAGTTGGGTTATGTTGAGATCACATATTATTGTTGTTTTTGTTGGTTTTTGGTTGTTATTGTTAAGTTTTGTTTTGTTACTTGTTATGGTTAATAAATATATCTAATGTTTTCGTTTAATTATTCCTTTTTTATTTTGATATTGCGTTATTACAAAGTAATTTTTTTTTTCCATATACTTTAATAATATTTTGGGAATTATTCATAAATTTTTCAATAATTAATAAACAATTGATCTCTTGCTCTAACTATTCTATTTTAATACTTTTTATTTTTATACATGTCTTTTGAAAGAAACCAAAATCTGATGGCTGGGACGATTTTGATATTGACTGCCCCATTGAAAATGAAAAGGTCGTTGAAAATAAGGAGATGAAAAAATGCAATGTTTCAAAATCAAAGGAAGATATAAAATCACAGGACACTGGTTGGGATGACTTTGATGACTGGGGCAATGAAGAGACACTGATAAAAACAACAGTAAGTGTTCAATTTATTTTATAAAAATATTAACTTACACAAATGATTCTTGTTGCAGCTGAAAATCAGTGTTTTGCTTCAAGCAAAAATATCACTGAGCTGTAGGCATTTTGTATCGTTGCAGAACACTTTATAGGATACTCTAGGCTTTTAAAATGTTGTTGTTGTAGCTTTTATTGTAATTTGTGTATTGTAAAAGTGTGCCGATCATGTAAATATTTTTTAGTTATCTTTTATAAAGGTTGGTTTCAATTCATTCATTCATAGTTTTATTAAACTAAAAGAGTATAACTACTTAATCTGAAAATTTTTCCTTAAAGAAGACTAGTCATTTAACAAAAACAGTACTTTTCTTTGTTTTATTATTATGTAATGCAAAGTTTTGTAATTTTGAAAAATTTATATTTTAGATGTAGAATAAAATCTATTTGTGTTTATTTATTTTGTATCTTACAATAATTTATCTAAGAATAATGTTATTATAACTATCTGCTATTGATTTAATAAATGCTTTTATAATGACTTATTCTTTTGTAAAAGAAGGCTTATATGTGTGAGCTGGCTAAACTTAAGTAAAAAATAAATATGTAGCTGATTTAAAATCTAACAACAATATAAAGGCTAAGCCGTTTTAATCACATATTATCTTACAGTCGGTTTAATATTTTACAGGAACAAAAGCAACAAGAAGTTAAATCCGATAAGGACATTAAAGAATTGACAGATAAGTTGGCAGCATCTACTGTGCAAAGCAGTAGCTGGGGTTGGGGATGGGGTGTGGATTCTCTTCTCAGTTCAGCCACTGCTGGAATCACATCTATAACTAGTCAAGTTTCTCAAGTAAAGTGCTCACACAATATCTTTTAGTTTTTAAAGGCTTTACAAAAGACTGTTTTTAATTTTGTAATTCTGTGAATCCTTCAATATTCTATAGTTTTGTCTGTTATATAACATTTCAGGGTATATCAAATGTCTTAGAGACAGGCATTGGTGCTCCTGATCCTGAAGAATTGGCAAGAAAAAATTTAAAAGCAACTGCAGAAGTAACAGAAAAGCATCCAGATAGAAATGTAAATGATGATAAGGAAGTGGTGAAAGAAGCAGCGCAAACTAGTTCTGATGATGTCTCATTCCCATTTGGAAGTTTACTGTCTGGTGTCACTAAATTTGTAGAGACTACTGGTATGTATTTAGGCCTTCTTATAGTTAATCATCATCATCAGCATTGTCATCTTAACATTAAACTCATCAAAAATTTATGAAATCTTGTAAAATAAAATTATAATTTAGGCTAAAATTTTGAATACATTTGTTTAAATTAATTTCTTCAATCTTATTCTAGGTACAAAAGTAATAGCAGGTGGCTTAGACACCCTCGAAACTATCGGGAAGAAGACCATGGAGGTACTTCAAGATGGCGACCCAGGATTAGCAAAGAAACGTGCCATGTTGGGTCTAGATCCAGGAGAGAAGCCAGTCCTTTCACAAATCCTTAGGGAGGCTAAAGCTAAAGCTGATGAAGAGGATAAGATTAGAGAAGAAAAAAGGGAAGCGAAGGAAGTGCATTACGAAAATCTATTCGATGATTTTGAAGGTGTGTGCAAATATTCTTTGGAACATGTTAAAAAATGTTTAAGATTGTATAAAATCTATATATTTGTGTGGGTATGTCGAGAAAACTTGTGTAATGGTTAGTGGTCCTTTTTATAAACATTAACCTTTCTTTTGAATAACTCTGTATATTAATAAAAACCGCTTTAAAATCCATTGTGTATTTTGAAAGAGCTCAGTGCACATACATACAGTGAGAAGTGACTTGATTTTATACTATGGAAAGATATAGCTAAAGCTCTAGTTGTGATGTCTTGTCTATCATTGTCAATAAAAATTATTCTATAGTCTGTTTATAGAGCAGCCAAAAAACCTTTATCGACACAAATTCTATATGACATTTTTTTGTACGAATGCTATAGGTTACTCCCCCACTCTGTACAACAATAAATACAGTTCTATGGCTAGCGATACATATAGTTTGCTTTCAAATTTCACATAATACTTTTTGATCGATATCGTCTATAGGGGATTTCTTTTTCTTTCAGTTATCCAGTTGCAATGTTTTTGTATACCAACTATTTGTTCTCATTTATTATTTCAGGCTTGGTTCACTTGGAAGCTTTAGAGATGCTCTCGAAACAAGTAAGCATGAGGATAGAGGAACGACTACGGGCAGCCGACCCAGAAAAGAAACAGGATATTAAAGAAACCATGCAGCAAGTCATAGGTAAGAATAAAGTATATTTTAACCTTTTATTTATTTTGTTTAAAATTAAAATGAATAAAATAAAACAAAAAGTTAAATTATATGCATTTTTAAAAACTTTAATTTTCTATCCTGAAAGTTATTATGTTACATTATCAATTGTTGTAATTAGTAATAAGGTACAGTCGCCTAATAATGCCCACTGTTTTCAACCGCTGGAGTGCTAAAAAACTAACTAGCATATAAGCTAATTCAGAAAAATTTTTAGCACTTTGGCAGTGAAAAACAGTGGGCGTTATTAGGCGAGAGTACCTTAGATGCATATTTTATAAATGATCTGCTAATTCAAATAAAGAAAATAATAGATCTCCATTTCGACAGCAACAAATTACATTGTATTTTTGTCCTACCATTTAACTAAAATACTTCAACAGTTTTAAATAAAACACAAGTAAAACGAATCTTCTGATATTGCAGCAGTCATTTACACGACGTACAAACTTTAAAATAATTTTGCTAATGTTAGCACCCCACACGCAGTTTGTTTTATTCAATCTCAACATATACAATCAGTCCATGTAATATGATTTTTTCAACATCATGACCTCTTTTTGCAACATAATTTATGACATGAACCCCTTCTGAGAATTAAGTTTGGTTGAATATATGGACGCCTTTGATGGTTCAGCATGCTTTTGATCAGCCAACGCAACATTGCAATTGTAGTCTAAAAATATTTCTAAAGCTATACATACCTCAACAATAGGGAATATGCTCATTTTTGGAAAATGGCTTTATATGATAATAGGGAATATTCACATTTTTGGAAAATGTTTTTATATGATAATTTACATCAATATATAAAAGTAAAAAAAAAAACCCGGCACCGAAAAGCTAAAATTTTGTAACATTAATCATTGGTGAAAATAAGTAATAGCGACGAGCAGTTTAAACACCTCAATTTTTGGCGCGCTTGTCGTGACGTCAAAGTACACGACTAGAGATATGACATTTTAAATCAATATGGATTTTGAGTGATTGATTATTATTAAATTACCCAAATCAATTCACTACTAATCGATTTTTTTAAAGTATAATAGACTTTTTTAAAAAATCATATAATTTACCAAATTGGTGAAATAAAAATAAAAGCCTAAAACATCATTTAAATTGTAATCTGTTGTTTATTTTGCGACTTAATACTTTGATGCTATTGCATCGATGTTAACTTTTTGTAACAACGACATCCCTAAACGTGTACATTTTAGTCACATCCGCTCTGACAAGTAGCATGGCGTTTGAATATTTTGAAGTTACCGCGTTTATTTTGCACTTTTTAATAATTATTTTCCAGACGAAAACGAACAAATTTTGAAAAACATTTAGGTAGACTTTATTCTAAAGCAATAACGATTGTAATAAAATATAATCAGACGCATATTCCCATTGGTAATATAAAGCTACCAAGATTTTCCCCAGCATGTTTTCTAAATCTTTCCAAAACAAATACAAAGTTCTTTTCCGAACTAGACATACCAGTTGTATGAGCCGTCGCAAGCATGCCGTTAGTCATTTTTTACGCCTAAGTATTAGACAAATAGAGAAAATAAATATAAAGTATATGCCAACTATTAGCAACTCCAAAAAAAACTAATTTTGCAGAACTATGCGAGATACCAGAAGACGAAGACGATGAAGAAACCTCAGAAGACCAATCCAAACCTGATGCATTCCACGAAAAGCTACAAATAGCGACGCAAGATTTAGGCCTTAAACTACAGTTCCAATCGTTAGTCAAGTGAGGGAAATTTTTAGTATATCTCAGACAAATTAAGACACTTGCTTGGCCTGGTCTATTCTATTTGTCTTTGAACTAAAATTCATAAAGTTTCAAATCGTTCTTAAAATTAAGTTAAAATCATAGTATATATTATCCGAGCATTAGAGACAATATCAGGTCCTTCATTCGTTGAATCATAAATTATAGAAAAATGTATTTCTTTGGAGTCGTATTAGCATTTCGAAAATATACACGAAATTTCATTTAACTGGTAGAAATTGTCATGTTAATTCGTACGGGTAGTAAGGTAGAACATATTTGTTGGATATCTGTATTAGCTTTTTTTCAGTAGTAAAAGCATATGAACAGTTCTACATATTAATGTAGTACTATATTCGTTAATGAGTGTAATGCACTAATATTCACTACAATGTCGTGTGCTGTTAGTGTCGATAGGCAACAGTACAAGTTCTGGTTACTGTGACACCATCCTTGTATAAGATTTCCGTACAATAGAGCATTTCTGCTAATGTAAGTGTAATTATGGAACACATGGACATAGTTCTTGTTATATACTAGATTATTATTAGTCTTCCGTGGTAGGGAAGGTACAGGAACTATAGATGGCAGCACTAAACGACAAAAGAGACATTAGCTGGACAATAAAGGAACCTTATCGGAACTGTCATCGAGTTTTCAACTAAGTAAACGAAATTATCTCTTCGATTATAAAATATATAAAATATCATTAATTATTGTTGTGGTGGACAAAACATGGCAAAATGTCAAAAGCTCTACTACGCTGGCCGTGTATTGGAGGTTGAAGAAATGATAAATTAATAAAATGATAACTGGCAAAACTGTCGCATAAACTAAATTATCCAATTATTACGACGCGAATGGTTAATAACGTTATGAATTTTATGCTTTTTTACTACGTTTATCAATTTATTTGCGTTGTGACATGACACGAGTACTCTTTGGAAAGTAATAGAATTCTATGCTATTTGATATACTTTTATTTTTCGCAGATGTTTCAATGCATCCAGAAATTTAACAGTCCATTATGATTAGCCGGAATAATAATTTTCACCGATAAAATTAATTCTGTTTACTCTTTATAAATGTCAACTGTCAATATACTACAAGATTCCTCCGTTGCGCACGTTCCTTGTAGAATACAAGAATTAATGTGATATTAATTTTTACGTAATTCGATTTATTTTTTAGACAATACACAGACATTTTGGATTTTCTAAGTTCCAATGATAGCATGAACGAGAAGGTGATATACAAACGAGCCGTGAGCAGTCTAGCTCAGGCGACCGCTCTGTCAGTGGAGATATATCATAAGACAGCTGAAATGTTACTCGTGAAAACTAGGAGGTCCACCGCTGATGAAGCCGATGCACTTACTCAGTGAGTGTTCTCATATGTATCTTCATCAATTCTGTTACGTGCCCACTGCAGGAACTCAGGCCTTCCTGATGAATGGTTAAAGAAGATGAGCTATCCACGCTTGCCTAATGCGGATTGGAGGGTATTAACGAATGCAGATGCAGCCGGGACCAACGGTTTAACGTTAATTAATGAAATAAAACTGTAAATAGCTAATAGTAACAGTATTCTTTCTATTAACAGATCTTGCTTCATTCGATTTTTGTTAAAAATATTTAATTGAGTAATTAATTATACAAGACCATAAATAGAGGCGTAAAAGTGTAATAATAATTAGCGACACAGTAGAAATATATAAGTAGTTGTATTCGAGACCCGAGCGAGAGATAATAGCCTAAACATGTAGGGCTGTCGCTTATAGGTTATTCAATCGTCCGAAATTAATGTTCAATCAATCTCTAAAATATAGTTTCCTCCGGTGCTCACCATGCATTCAGGAAGTAAAATTCAACGTTTTAAATGTTTTTACTAATATAGAAACTACAAATTTTTTTCATACCTACGTCATGTCATCAATTTAGTGTTTTGTTAAATTAAAACGGGTTTTAATGAATTGTCATCAATTTAGTGTTTTGTTAAATTAAAACGGGTTTTAATGAATCATGTATTTATTTAATTACTTCCAAATAATCAGGCTACGTTTAAAATAAGATAATGCCGATCTTAATTTTTAATAATCATGTGCTTTGCACAGACTATATTTTTTTATATTACATTATTTAATATGCAAATATATAATTCAATACAAATTTCAATTTGGTGGTATTCGAGCATAGAGATTTAATAAATTAAACTACAAATTGATATCTGATAAAGAAAATCTTGAGCAGAAATAATTTATAAACACTTTCGATTGGTAAATAGCTACACAAAATTATAATAACGTATATTATTATACCTATAATAAATTACCCGAATACATAAAGAACGAAATACCATATACTCGATTTATAAATGTATATACACTACAATATTTTAGTTTCGTTTTATCCATCTTGTTTACGTCAGAGTGTGTTTGCGACGACCCATACGTACGGGCGCGCTCACATACAAACCATTTTCGGTGTGTATCTATGAAGAGCACTTACACTTTGTTTGTACTCTGTCAGCGGGGTGGAGAATGACGCGGGATCTCAGTATTTTGGAATTGGACGTCCTAAGATTAAGTTAAGACGAGTTTCTAACAAGTCGCTAAAAAATTTTTACAACTTTTACCCCAAGAGATGTATTTATATAAATATATATTTTGCAGAATGACAGTGGTACTTACGAAACACATCAGCGAATTGGCGACCTTGTTTACTGTGAAGTTGAACTCTATAGCGTCTGGAAATAAGGATCAAATCAATAACTATATCACTAATATATTTTTAGAGGTGAGTGCCTCATGTATTCTGTTAACTCATCAAATACTGAACTATAAAAAAATGGTTCAACATCGTTGTGAGAAGTTTGTTACTGCTACAATGAAAAAAAAGGCGATTGTCGCAGTTTTTACCTTATAAAAAGTAACCCTGTATTGATTGTGCATAGTAAGTTATCTATTTATTAGAAAATTATAGCATGAATATTCCCTCTGCTTGTACTGTATGCAAGAAATGATATAAAATAAAAGTTATCTATAAGTTAACTGTGAAATTCTCTTTTCTATACTAATATTATAAATCTGAAGAGTTTGTTTGTTTAAACGCGCTAATCTCAGGAACTGCTGGTTCGAATTGAAAAAATATTTTTGTGTTAAATAGACCATTTATCACGCTGCAACTATAAGGAGCGAAGAAATAATGGAAAACGCGGACGAAGTCGCTGGCGGCCACTAGTCTACGATAATATTACTGAACAAAATTTGTACCAGAATAATTATTATTTAATAATATTTACGCATAAAATTACTATCGTATTTCAATGTAAACGATAAATGTAACTGCATAATGAATGCCACGGCCGCGAAGCTAGTTTGTTTATGTTTCTGAAAGGGCTCTTAACATATCATGAAATAATATATTTTTGTAATAATAATGCGTTTTTGTTCACAGTCTGGCAACAGTTCGACATACATACAAAATGCATTCCAGTTAACTCTGCCCATACTGCAAATAGGTGCCGTTTAGTGATTTTATGGTTAAAGTGTATAATATTCTTAGAAATTGTGTGCACAATAACTAATATTTATATATATTTAAACATGCAATAATACTAGTATTTTAACTTAAACGGTGCATTGTTTTCAACTTGTGTTGAGTTTTTATAATGGCCTAAGTTTTCTTTATATTGAAATTGAAAAAAGTCGATTGTTGATGTTTCGTGTTACATTTCACTTTCATAAAAAAAAAATTGACACTGTTTCAGTCAGTTGCACAAACGTCTATTAAGGTCTAATGACGCCTTTAAGCTAAAATGGATGTCAAATTTGTATGGATAATGTCACTTTAAACTAATGAAAATTTTAATGGACGTATGTGCAACGTGCAATTTGAGTGTTAATTTTTTTTATATATATAAAACTTCGTCTACATAATCTAAGCGACATTGTTATATATAACCCTTGTCTGTACGCTCAGATTATTTAAACTATACCTACAACCGATTTTAATCAATATACAGAGTGATATAAAAATGAAGGTTTATAATGTAGAATACTGTGCCACGCAGATTGAAGCTGCTGGCGGAAAGTAAGCATCTTATAATTAATTTAGTACAGCATGCAAGCGAAGCGTCATAAAAAATAGACCTATAAAATTATCGACAGTACAACAAAACTTTTTATGTTGTAAGCCATTTAATCTAAGCTAGGTTGCTAGTCTATTACAAATAACTCTGTGTGTATATCAATAAAAGCTCATGCAGTCGCAATATAAAGAAAATTAACAAAAACTAGTTTCTACTTCTTCTTATCTTCAATGACTACTTTGCGTCAACTTCAATTTAAGGCTAGTTGACAACATTTTATTTTATAAATATGATATTTAAAATGATATAATAAATATGAGAAATAATGTAGAAGTAACTGCATGTGCTATGTTCGTGGAACTGCTGCTAGTCGCCAGAAAACGCTCCCTGCAAATTCCAAAAGCTAAGTGACGTCATAGAGTGCTGCGTTATCTGTAAAAAAAAACGTATGAGCATCTGGGCAATCTTTTTTATTTGTGCGTTTATGTTTATAGCTCTTATAACGAAACTTATAACGTTTTATGTAACTAATTGAATGCCATATGTATTTTAGCAAATTTATGTAGTATATTTTCATTACTTTTTCAAGTTTTCAAAACGTAATATTTTCCAAATTAATAACATCAAATTGGTTTAGTTAAATATTTATAACTTAAAATGGTTCATATTTTCCAAACGTATAATGGAAAACTGTATTTTCACTTGTAGGAGACTAGCCTATTCTGCTAAGTTCATATAAAGACAAAGTACATTTATCCAATGATTTATGAATTACCAACAACGACAAAAGTTTTAGGCAATACAATATGGTATGTGCAATATATATGTAGTAAAAACTGTGTTAAAGCTAAGGAGCGATAGATAACCCTACAGATGTTCAATGTTAGAGTGACCTTATTAATCATTTCCAATTTCAACTTTATTGCAATTAAATAAATGTCAACGCCTTTTTATAAAACAGCAAAAGTTGTCAGTAACCGATAATATTGCAAGGAAAAACATGCGCTACCATTTTTATAGAACTGTACTGAGTTATACTTTTTGGTACTATACTGATATAACCCTGGGTACATCTATACTAATATTATAAACAGAAAATATTTGATTGTTTGTTTGTTTGCAACGAATAGGCTCCGAAACTACTGAACCGATTTAAAAAATTCATTAGCCTACGGAAAGCTACATCATATGCGGTGAATATAGAGTATATTTTTTTCCCTAGAAACAGCAAATAAGAGTATTAAAATGGGAGTGGAACTTTGTAAGGTTAAATTCACGTTAAATTAAACGTTGCCATAGTACCCATTGTTTACTATTCAATATGTAATTGTAATTATATTCGTGTCATGATATGAATCGATATCCAAATAAAACATTTCCCTGGGGACCATGCGGTCAAATCCGCTGACGAAAAACTAGTATAGTATAAGCAATTCATCTTTGCGTGTGGCGGTATCTGTGGGTAATCCTTGTACATATACAAATATAACTTTATGTGCGTGTCGAAAGGTACAGCCAAATACAAATACAGTAATTTCAACTAATTTAAAATTATGAAAAAATAACTATAATGACCTGTAAGTATTATAAATTACTATAGATTATTATACAGGGTTATTTAATTTTGTACTCAGAAACGCTACTAGAAAAATCAAACTATGATTTTTAGATTCCCTGCTCGCAACCAAGGTTAAGTATGAAATCTGATTCCATGTTAAAATAACCCGTCAAGAACAAGAATTATGGAAAACAATTGTATCCATATTAAAAAGTCGATAAGAACTCGGCTCACGCAGACTTGAGAGTCGGATATTCCATCGATCTTCCTTTCATTTCACTTTATTTTTTTTATAATTGTTTTAATAACTTTACATTGGCATAATTATGCGAAACGCACAGTAAATCCGTTAATAAAAGAAGAAGAAGAAACTGTACTGCCTAGATATGTTGATCGTTTTCGGATACACGAACTTAGCAGATGCCCATTATTTATCACTGTATAAGAACTTACTGTTTAAAGCTTTAGTAACCTTGGAATTCAACTCTGTTACCGAATAAAAAGTTTCATTGTTAGAGCACTTTTGTGCCCTCGCACCTTATAAAGCATTTTCTGTATCTGTCGATGTCAAAGTTCCCTTTAAGTACATAATTATAGAGTTCAGATTTCATATAATTATATTAAACTTTATTTTCATCTTACATTGGTTTGCTTGTAGTTGTTACATTCTTAATTAAAATTGTATATGCTAATTTTTGAATAATTCACATACGTCATAGTTAACTAATATATCTCAATATAAACAAATAATTGATATAAAGTTGTTCATATCATTAATCCATTGTTTATGATTTATATTATTAGTTTTTGACAATAAAACCAATGTGCTATATACACATTTTATACAAAATATTTGTCTTTCATTTTGTGTAGCCCCTAGATGCTTAAGATTGCGCTTACGTGAGACGAAATATTAAGAGATATTGACAATTAAAGTTTATTGTACTCTGTAGCCGAGTGACATCCACACTTGTTTCATGGACCTGGGATCGATTCTCGATCGAGTCAATGAAGAAAATTTTCTTTATTTTATAGGGTTTAGGTGAGATGTGGAATCTGAGTAATGTAATGTGATGTTATCTTATTGGTATTTACATAAAGTTATATATATTTGTCTTTTTCACAATCAATTTGTTATTAATTATTTGTTATAACGCTCTCATAAACCTTGACTAGTAATAAATGTTGGCTTATACCAACAAATAAATAAGCTGTTGTGTTTCCACTAGTATATCCTGCTGCAGAATATTTTTATATGTACCTACTATCGGCAAAATTCGTTTGCGCTGAAAACAGAGAGCCAAAGTCAATAAAATATGTTAGCCAACATTCTTGAAGTAGGGAAGGTGGGTTTTATTATACAATGCTCTACTACATATCATTGTCATTATTGATAATGTTGTGATACAGTTTTAACAAGCTTTAAGTCAGCTTAGTTCTTGAAATAGTTGGCAGTGCCTCAGTTTATACAGCGTATTGAAGTTATTTTAATAAATGAATATGTGTGACCAAACGATGAAATAAAAAGTAGAACCGACTTCAAACTTTAAAAAGGTGATATATAATACTTATCTCTAAAAGGACTTTTTAAAAAAATAAACTATTGATGCCGGGCGGAGGTTTTCTGTAGGTAATTCATTAAATGAAAGGCGCCCAACTTTAATACCTATCATTTTTTTGAATAAGTCGCTTTTGAGATAAATATTATTTATCCCTGAAGACGGTTAGTGATGTTAATATTTTTTATATAGTAGGCAATACTAAAAATAATAAATATCTTCTTAAAAAAAAATATTTAACCTAAAGAAAATCTTAGAATAGGAGATTTTGTTTATGTGCACCACATTTTTTTTTAATAATATAGATTCATATTTTAAAAAGGAAAGATTTGAATGCTTGTTTGTTTGCCTTGATAGGTCTCGAAACTATCGGACCGATTTATAAAAGTCTCATCTACGGGAAGCTACATAATACACGACGGACATATGTACATGACATGTACAATATATTATTATATAATTATATTATTTCCTTTTTTGATGTCAATTATAATTATATAGAAATTAAGAAAAGCTGAGCATTCTCAAAATATGTTTATATTCATGATTTTGACAGAATTTTAATCTGGAAGCTCTTTATAATTACAATCCAAACCAGCCGTGGTTTAACTGTACACTGCATATCTAAAACAAGAAAAAAATATTGCAAAATTATATTAATTATATAGACTACAATGTAATACTGCTAAAGTGGTCAGGCTATTGTGAAAACACCTGTTTACTTGCTCTTATGAAAGAAAAGTGTGGATATTCCAATATAAAAAAATGTTGAAACCGGTAAATATACAGCTTTATTAAACAATCGATGTTTTCCGGTGACTTCGCTTTTAATTTATAGCGTATAGCACCTGCATATGATGTTTTCTGTTTATAATAAACAAAGTTTTTCGAAGGTGAAAACAATTTAATGATCCTTTCAGTATTTCCGAAGATTACCCCCTATAAACAAAAAATAATATTTGAAATTTTACATCATAATTTCAAACGCAGACCTTGAACTATTCTTAACAAACCTATTCGTGCTGTTGAGAGATGAACAATATGAGTATTACAATCACTACATTACTATAAAAAAAAATTAAAAATCAAGCAGATACTAATATAAGCTTTATTTTAAAGAATTTTAAATTAATAAATGATACTATCAAATACAACCATTTCAAATTTTGAATTATTCGTGAAAAAACATTTCAGCGAACCACTGACAACCAAGTCATATCCACACTAAGTTCCTCGTTCAGTTAACAAAAATGATCATAATAGCTATTGAGCGAAACCACATCTGTTCAAGGGTTGTGTTCGCATCTGTGTGAATAGTGTGTTA